TTCAGCATGGAGTGGAGCTTAGTTATGTAACTTGAGGCTGTATATTCTGCAATATTGGGACTATCAGTGAGTCAACAGCGGATCAGAGGAGGAAAGAGATAACAGTTGTTCTTTAAAAATTAGGATTTAAATTGAGTTGTTTTAAATAAAGCCTTCTTACTAGTGATTGTAATTGATTGTAATTATACTAGTGATTCTAAATGATGTAAATTGACTTGATTTAAATCAAATCCAACCTGAACCTTAGTAAGGCCACACCTGGAATCCTGCATCCTGGGTAGTCTAGACCAGTGGTTCCCAAACTTGGCAACTTTAAGACTTGTGGACTTCAACTCCCAGAATTCTGGCTGGAGAATTCTGGGAGTTGAAGTCCACAAGTCTTAAAGTTGCCAAGTTTGGGAACCACTGGCATAGAAGATTTTGCTATTAACGGCAGCATATTGTTATGCTGTGGAATGTTAGACATTTTTCAGTACTTTTGACTTTCAACAAAATAGGTGTGGGAGACTAGAAAAAAATGAAGGATGTACTAAAATGTGAACCTGTAAAGTTGAATAAAAATATTGACTGCATTGGTTTGCAGCATTCTTATTTCCAAGTTTCAAATGCATGGGTGTCTCAGTAGACCGGCTGTGTATTTGGTAGGAAAAAGTCAGTAAATATAGCCTGTAACAATCATTAGCTGAGACGCGGCTTTAAATAGTAGCTCCAAAGGAGGAACAGAAGGTATGAAGAATATTTTAAGCTAATAGATAGAAGTGTTCAAAATCTTTGTCCCTGCATTTTTTGTAGTTCTGGGAGTACATACGTTCATTTTAGCTGTTCTGCTGATTTTTCCTCATGCCAAACTATAATCCACCTTTTCTCAATAATCTTTTCTGGTATTATAAATAAACTTGGGATCAGTGCTCCATCTGGTTAAAGATACTCTCTCTGTGTTGCTTCCAAGCACTGGAAAGCACTCCCTTAAATGTTGTTCTTGGCCTCACTCCTGCTTTTTAGGAAAAGAAGTAA